ATAAATAAGCCAAGCTAAGCCTAGTCATTCATAAGTAAGAATAAATCTCTATGTATTTATTTGGGAGCTAGATGGTGCACCCCCCCAAAAAGAACAAAGAGTGAGAAAAAAATCCCAACTACACACCTGTTTGATGAGCCTTGCTGAACGCACAGGATGGGGTATAAGAGCTATCTGGAGATGGATGTGTTACTGCATGTCCCTCCATGAAATCTGGGGAACAAAGAGAATAAACGAACCTGTTCCCACAACGTGGGCTCGGAAGCCTATTACAGCAGGTGGCCCCATCCTGCTGACCCTGGTAACTAGAAGGGAAACCCTCAAACGTGGTCTCTAGCAAGGCAGCCCCCAGGAGTGCATGCCTCCACCGGGGTAGTAAGGAGATTGTGTCAAAGGGACCACATCAGCTTCATAATTAAAATAGTCCTCTTCTAGAACTTTCACTTCAGGCTACTCCTTTTGCAGCTCCTGTGTGTCACAATCATTGAAGAGATTTATACGTAACTCACACGAAACTTGACAAGATCCTGGGTTGAAATGGGCTTCGTTTGCATCAACAGTTCTGTTTTCTGACTGGGACCTTTCACCTTGGGTTGGAAAGGTTCAGTGAGGACTCAATTTCCCACAAGTCTGCACTGGCGACCTTCCTCTTTGCCAACTGTTCTCCCCCCTCCCCCCAGCATTTGGGGCTCCAACCCTCAGCACACTTCTCTACCTCTATGTCTCAGGGCCCAGCGGACCCTGAAGCGGGTGTCTCGATGGAGAACCTGGCCTAATGCATAGGTGTAGCCAACCGTCAGAAGCAGTGAGTGGAGAGCTCTGACCTCCCATTGTCTCCTTGGAGCACAAGCCCCTCCCTTCTTCACCGTTGTGAGGAGGGCTTGCCCTGTTCGGAATGAAGAGCAAGCAGCGAAAAGAGGCACACAGTGGGTGGTCAAGCTGAAGGCATCAGAACCGACTGTGTTTCTCCTGTAAAGGGTGGCTGAAGTTGGAACAAAGTTAAGAAGGTCAATTTTATTTATTTATTTTGCTTAAATTATACTGTTGGAGCAGGACATTTATTTTTGTTTCGTCTTCTCCAATTTTGTAACTAAGCATAAGGTACTTGGATGGCTGTTCTCAGGAATGTCAAACTCCGACCTTCTGGCTGGAGATGAGGGCCCAGAACTGGGACATTCTTAGGGCATTGGCTTGCTCACAGTGAACCCCGCGAAGGGTATGAAGTTAGGGTGTTGTCCCGGTTAATTTTAGACCAACAAAGCAAAAATATTTGCATTTTCACATTTGTAATCGGTCACTGAAATCATTTGGCAAGTGCCCATTGACACGATAAGGCATTCTGGTTTTACATATTAAATTATCAAAATATACCAAAGACAATGGGGACATCCTAAGCAGACCACTCTTGTGTCTGGGCCATCCACATTCTAGGAAGTTATCATTAGGGAGCGTCTGCTAAGTGCTAGTTAGGGTATCATCAGAGAGCGTCTGCTGAGTGCTAGTCCTGTATCAAACCAGTCTAGGGCTGGGGAGATAAATGGTTCTGAAGTAAATTGTTCACTATACACATAATAATCAGGTCGTGTCATACATCTCTAATCCCAGCACTGGGTTCTAGGAGGTAGAATTGGTAGGGTCCCGGGGGCTCAGAGGCCAGCCAGTCTAACTGATCCAGGTTCATTGTCCCAAATACTAAGGTAGAGTTGCTCTCGTGGATGGACCCACGCCCAGAAGTACATGAACAGCATAAATTGAAGTTGGTGGATTATTAAATAAAAAATTTAAATAAGGAGGTCCTAAAGTTGGTAGGAAGGGGACTAGGGTGGATCTGGGAGGGACTAAAGGGAGGGGCTGAGGTGAGTATGACCAAATGCTTTGTATGAAAGAATGAATAACAATACTAAAACAAATGTAAAGGAAGATATCCAGTGTAGATCTCTGTGTCCACATAGGCATGGCTAGGCAAGCATCCTGCACACACCCCTGCACACACCCCTGCACACATACACATCCCTGCACACACCCCTGCACACACCCCTGAACACACACACTTGCACACACCCCTGTACACACCCCTAAACATATACCTGTACACACACACACATTATAAAAACAACCAATATTGCTGGGCGGTGGGGGCACACGCCTTAAAACCCAGCACTTGGGAGGCAGAGCAGGCAGATTTGTGTGAGTTCGAGGCCAGCCTGGTCTACCATGTGAGTTCTGGGACCGCCAGGACTGCCTCAAAGAGAAACCCTGTCTCGGAAAACACTGTCACCCCCCCCCCCAAAAAACCCAAAATGACCAATATTTAAAATTATGATATGAATTCTAAACATAATTTATTCAGCTGATTTTGGACTTTCATTAATTCTAAATAAGTGAGGAATACCTACTGCTTCAAAGCGCTAGTTTTTATCTGAAAAACAGACTTCCAGCAAGTCAATCTGTGGAATTTAATACATGTTATCATAGAATTTGGAGAGTTCCTTCTGCAAGTGTTCAGGCAGTGCTGTTGAAGTTCACATCTTCTGTAAAAACACAAGCTGCTCTCATTTGGAGGTGATTCTTTTTCCAGTGTCTTTGAAGATATTACAGGTGGTAACAAACAAACAAACAACAACAATACTGTTTTCCACAAAACATTCATGGCAGAAAGAAAAATAAAAACAAATTTAATGGTACCCAGGGCTGTCTCCGACTGCATTAGTTCAGACAACTAAACGGCGTATCTGTAAAAGTAGATCAAAGGTGTGTCTTCAGGGCTCCTACCATGAGATGGGAAATAAATACCCCTGCGATGGTTAATAGCGCCAACTTGAGAGAATCTAGAGGGACCATGGAGATAAACCTCTGGGCATGTGTGGGAGGGAGTTTCTACGTTAGGCAAATTGTAGTGGGAAGACTCACCCTAAAAGTAGGTGACACAGTTCTGCGGCCTGGGGTTTTGAACTGAATGAGAAGGAAGAAGAGGGCTGAGCACCTGCATTCACCATCTATGCTTCCTGATTGCAGGTGCCCCGAGGCCAGCTACTGCTAAAACACTCCCTTCCTTAAGTAGTCTTTGTCAGGGATCTTGTCAGAGCTGGGAGAAAAGCAATAGACTCAGGTCTGCCATCTATTTTATAATAAACACTCTGTCAACACAGACAGACCAAGCTTCACTCAGAAGAAGCAGAGGGAGACGCCAGGTCCAGGGTCCCCACGCGGCCGGTGGGTACTGTGGGAAGGGGTGTAGATGGCTCTAAGGAGCGCAGCTTCCCGCAGCTTATGACTTTTTTTGTGCAGCTGATGAATATCTGTGAGGGAAAATTTAAAAGCTATATTTCTATGAAGGCCAAAACAATGCAGGCCAAGTATGCAGGGCTGAGCCCAGGGAACTATTTAGAACAGCCAGTGGCATGGATAGACTCCATGTCCCAAGGCAATACTCCAAAAATATTCTTTCTCACAACTTGGACATTTTTTTAATGATGTTTGGACAAGGGAGAGCACATGATCATAATCTAGATAATCTAGACAAGCAGCAGAGAGGGCAAAGTGTGTGTGTGTGTGTATGTGTGTGTGTGTGTGTGTGTGTGTGTATGCCCGCATGTCCGTCCAGAAAGGTGTCCTCAGAGGACAAAACAGGAAACATGTTGTTTATTCAAAATTCAGAGCCCACCTGTCCTTATCTGCTTCCTGGTGCTGTGGTAACTCAGGAAAGGATGGATTTTGGCTCACATATTCCCGTCACAGTCCCTCACTGAGGGAAGCGGGGACAGGAACTCAGGCAGGAACCTGGAGGCAGGGAAAGGTGCTACTTACTGGCTTGTCCCCCAGGGCTTGCTTAGCTTGCTTTCATATGTAACATGGGGCCACCTGTCAAGGGGTGGCATTGCCCACCATGGGCTGTGCCCTTCCACATCAATCATTAGTCAAAATAATGCATCCTGGACTTGCCTATAGGCTAATCTGGTGGAGGCATTTTCTTAATCGAGGTGCCCGCTTTCTGGATGACCCGAGTTTGTGTCAAGTTGACGAAACCTAGCCATGCACTGTTCAGTACTGTGACCATGGATAGTTACCTTGGTAGGACCCAGGGCAGGCCGTTTCTGGGTACCAAGAAGTTTTATTAATTGGTATCTGTAGCAGCAGCATAGCTGCATGCTTTTCCAGAGTTGATAATTTTATTTTTTAATGTTTGCCAACCAAGTACAGGAAAATGGCAAACGTAGTATTTAAATTTACATTTCTCTGGTGGATATTTTAAATTTTTTCCCCTTGGCAATCTTAACTGTGTTTTCTTATAGGTTGGCCGGAGATGTTCAGAAACTAAGCATGTTGATCCTTACTGGCCTAGATACCTCCTAGTGGACATATAAGGGAACAGCAAAATCCAGGACTAACTTTGGGAAGTGTGCGAGGCTCCACGTTTTGGAGCACTGGCTGCCCTTGCAGGGGACTGAGTTTGATTCCTTGCGCCCACATAGAAGCTCACAACCATTTCTGACTCCAGTTCCAGAGGTGATCTGGTGTCCTCTTCTGGCCTTCACAGGCACCAGACCTGCA